CTGTAAGATAAAATACAGATTCTAGTAATTTGTATCAGTTCCACCCTGTTAAATAGTAACATCATCTTCCTGTAAGATAAAATACAGATTCTAGTAATTTGTATCAGTTCCAATCTGTTAAATAGTAACATCATCTTCCTGTAAGATAAAATACAGATTCTAGTGACATAAAGATATTATTAGATATGTATTACTAAGATAAAAATCAAACAATAAACATAGTTAGATAAAAGCATCATCTATGAAGTGTAGCTTATCATCAGGCCAGATTTTGATTTGAATAGAATTCTACACTGACTCTCACTACATAAACTGTTCAAGTGTCAGAGGGAACACTGCACGTGGACCAGAACTATATACTGAACCTTGCCATAATTCAAGCTTATCAGAGATAACAATGCTTGTGCACCAGAGCTAAATACTGAACCTTGCCATAGTTCAAGTTTATCAGAGATAACAATGCTTGTGGACTAGAGTTAAATTCTGATATTTGCGACCTGAACAGTTCAAGTGTCAGAGGTGTGTACCAGAATTATGTACTGGCACCTCACAAAACAAGCAGTTCAAGTATCAGACATAATATTGCTATGTGTGCCAGAGTTACATATTAGCACTCGCTATACAAACAGTCGAAGTGTCAGAAATACTGTTTTTATTCAAGAGTATGGTTTAGAATATTAGTTTGAAAATCATATTTGAATACGTGGTATGTTTACGATTTAATTGCAGCATTATTGCCAATACTTAAGCATAAACATACACTTAAGGTTTATAATTTCCTTACCTCCTTTTTGTGCTGGAGATCGACAAAATAGTGAACATCCTTAAATGCCGGGTCAAGGTCATCCTCGTCTTTAACTTTAATGGTAACTTCAGCTTCTGATTGAAGCAATTTACCTTCATAAGATTCCTTTGTATTCTATATAATGGAAATAATTTACATTAATACAAAGATTACAATAGATATGTTTTACTATTTTTATTATAAACGTAAAATTATTATCTAACATTCAACGGCACTAAATTATTTCCGTCTTAATTAGCTTAATCATATTCTAATTACATTTGAGATTATACTTAGACTGAATATCTCGGTCCTAAATCCACGTATTGAAGTAGAAATGTAGCGAATAATGATATTTCAAAGAAAACAACACTATCAATTTTATATCTTAGTGCAAATTACCCAGAAAAGGCAGAAATGATCTTCTTAATTGAACAATAAACAAAACATTGTTTTAGATTCAATCATTCTATATAATATATAAACTTACCTGTGCTAAAAGTTTAAATTTGTATTCCTTCTTTGTGTTATAATTCATTCGACCCTTGATTTCTATAGTTAAACTTCTCTTGTATGGTAATTTAGAGTCTTCGCCTTCTTGTTTTTCGACAACTTTAAAAAAGGCGTCACCTTCCTGAGAAAACAAAGTCAGAAAAAGCAGTCAAGAAATGATTTTAAAACATCATAGTGTTAAGTCTGGATAAAAGATGCAACAAATCCCCTCATTGAAGCTATTTCATTCAAGTTTATCTCTTACTTCCAGAGTTCAGCAAATTATGATAACAAGTAAAACTCATAGAAAAACATTGTAACGAAGAATGCCTCAGAATAAGTTTATTAAAACATCATATCACAAAATGTTTGACAGATACTTATTGATCTGGAATTAAAAACAATGTATTTTGTAAAGTTCCTGATAAAAAAAAAGCTAACCTCATTTATAGTGAATGTACTCTCAACGTTTGCATTCCAGCCGTCGTTATCTTGCACTTGTATTGGATAGTCGAGATTTACTGATTGTCCTTCCAAA